ATGTATTGGAAAATAGGTTCTTTGCATATTCAAAACCAGTTTATTACTCATTCTCTCTCTCTCTCTCTCTCTCTCTCTCTCTCTATTGGAAAATTATTTAAAATTATAAAAACAAATATATGTCACAACAATTTTTCAATAATTTGAATTTAAAATGTTATTTTACATTATTATAGAAAACAAAATTTTAATTTTTTCATAATTTCCCCTTTTAATTAAAAACATACTGCAGTTGTATAATTAACGTAAGTATAATGTTAATTGGATTTCCACCTATTAGAGCAATTAAAAACTAAATGATATATTAATTAATTAACCATATTGTCTTATTCTTTCAAAAATAAATAAACAATATAATTATATAAAACTAATTTGAATACTAATCAAACATGAACTACCTTAGAATTTACCTACTGTGTATCTCAGGTAGAGTCATATTTTAATTGTTTACAACATAAATTAACTCGTTATATAAACCTAATTAATTTGAAACAACAGTATTTGGTGTTTATAGTAAATTCTCAGAAGAGTGGTTGGATAAGGCAGTTGTGATGAGCACAGGCATGAGTTTGCCCGATGAACCATTTTCACTGTCACCAATTATGCTAAGATTATACTGCGCAAAGTAAATCATAAATTAACATTGATCATTTGATGTATTATAAATTTACATTAGCCGTTCGTTTGGGGACTTAGCATTAAAATTAACGCGTCGGTGGTACGGTGTTAGTAAACTACCCTTGATGTTTATTGACCAAATGGCACTCGCCTTCCAATATTCATATAAAATATGTGACACTATAGAGCACAAATCTTTTGGCCAGATATCTTCTCTACTAAATGAAATACGTGATAAAGCTATGGCACAAAAGGAGTATAACCATGGTGTATACAACGCCCTCGTCGACGGCTCCCAACCCAACACCAATTTCACAGTTTCCAAACTTAATTGGTATTCATATATAATACTATTTTCTATAATTAAATATAATGCTTTTTAAGATAGTTTTTAAAATCCAATTTAAATTGTTGTATAATACAATAGTTACGTTAAAGGCTGGTACGATTCAATTACTAATTCGCTTACCGGTGAGGCCCGGGAAATGCTTATGGATATGCTGAATCTGATTCCCAAATATATAGCCAACAGCGGTCACCCGTTGGCCACTGATTGTAACTGGGAGTCTATACCTGTGACCAATGGTAATAAATTTCATTCAGTACCGCTTCTTGCTATAAAGGCATTAACCAATTTAGACAAATTATCAAATGTTTCCAATCCTAGTAACACATTAAAATAACTCTGTATTTATTAATTTTAAATTATTATTTTTAATAAATATAATTAAAAAACAGAAATTGCTGCACAAAGTTTTGTGTGCTTTTATACAATTATTAAATAATGAATTTTTTAATCATAAAAACATTCATTTATATGTATATAATATAGAAATTCAGTTGTATATATATTTATATATTCCAGACATTTACTGAAAATGCTTTGTCTGTAAAAATTTGAAATAACAACATGTTAAACAAACTTATAATAAGTGAATATCCGGCGCTAACAATATAGCCGTAGAGTACTGTCATCCGGGTATAAGACCAGCCCCTCAACATCACTGATCGTAACGAATTCAATGGTATAGTTATGGGACTTAAGTTTGATATTATCATAAAATATGATGGAATTGCTTCTAATGGCCACAAAACACCCGACATTATCCATAACGGGAGCATAAATCCAGTTATTGCAACCTATTATAGAAAGTAATAATAACATTAAAAATTTTGTCAATTTATAACAATAAATGCCGAGTGCACCGTGGGCATTTTGTAACATTACGGTGAACCCTTTTAAAATAATTTAATTTTAAAAATAATTTGTAAACACATACGGCAACGGATACTTCATCGGCGAGTATAAGAGCGCCCATTAGGCCTATTGAAATTCCGAGCAATCCTTGTAAGAGTAGCATGATAAAAATCTCCACATAACTGCCCAACTGTGTGGCATTAAACACGATGAACATGATGGTCATACTGAGGGTCACCTGTGTTAGGCAAAGGAGCATATTCTGGGCCATATGGGCCATAAAATACTCAATTGGTTTGACACCCGCCACAAACACCCTCTCAAACGAACTGTTTTTACGGTCGATCACAATCTGAAAGGCGGATATAACGAGAGGCAGTATCTGCGCGATCACTATAAGTATGGATGGACCGAAATGGTTGGTTATGTTGAGATCGGTGTCCCCATACACGGCCTCCTGTATCTGCAGCGGTGACAATATGCGGAACAGATCCCGTCCGCCCATTATTGAGCTCATTCGGTCCAGAAATGTCTTAAACGCCTGTATCATGTATTTCACCAGAAATGCTCCGATCGCTGCGTCTGTAATATAAAAATCAAACAAGGTTTATTAGTTTTTTATTTATATTTTTTAGTATGTAATAATAATATGAGTGTATAATATTAAAATTAATTATTCAGTTTCCTTTGTATCTAGGAAATAAAACGGTAGAAAAAATAGTACCGGAAAAATCAATGTTGACCTTAATCAAACTTTCTTCCACCTCGAAGTCGGTCAAATCAAACACATCGGTTATACGAGTCTCGAAAGTATCGGAAAAATTCTCTGAAAATGCTATCGACATGTAATTCTTGCCCTTAACTATAGAGTCAATGGCCGATTGGTTATCAGGGTAGTTTGTCAGACGCAAAAAGTAGGGATCAATTGAGTCCAAATACAACTGCGAGAGTTTCGGATTCAAGTCGGCGTTAACGATGGCCACCGGGATATTGTACGGGCTTTGACTTATGGTATAGTTCATGGCTGTTAACGCTATGATTGGTATAGAGTAGTACATAAACAGGTAAAGGGGTCGCCGAAGGGTTAGTATATAGTATTTCCATAGCATTGCTTTAATACGACACCACTCGACAGGTTTTTTGTTTAATTTTCCAGGATTATTGTCTTCAAACTGATCGTCGGTATTGTCGGCCAAAACATCGCTTAATTGTATAGTTTTTCTCGTCTGACTTTCAATGGCCTCCAATTGTCTGCTTTTACGGCGTTTGATGTCCTGTTGACAGAGTCTGAGAAACACCTCCTCGAGAGTCGACACCTGGTATTCAGCCATCAGTTGATTTGGATTCGATTGTTTCAGAATTGTTCCCGAATTCATGAACGCCACGTTCGCCGCACTCCGCGCCTCCTCTATATAATGAGTCGTTATTATCACTGTTTGGCCTAAAATGTAAACAACATTTATAGTTACAATGTATGCTCACAATTGTTCGAGTACATAATTATTGATTATATAATTTGTATAATCTACAGGATAATTATATATTGTTTAATTTGTCACGCAATTAATATAAAATTAATTTGCAAGATAGTTATTTTTAGCACTTTGAAATAAACATGTTTACGATTTGTTTGATAAATTATAATTTATAAATAATAAATAGGCTATATAAATAATATTATTATCATGACTAATACCCGGCAATTATTTTTTTTGAGAAAACTTATCACGTGGTGAGAAAGATATTGAGAAATAAGTGAGTGAGTGAGTGAGTGAGTGAGTGAGTGAGTGAGTGAGTGAGTGAG